GTTCTTCAATAATAAAGCACAAGGGAAATGGCATTCTTGTAAATGTTACTTACTTGTGTTCTGACATCCTCCTCTTTTTGATTTTTCTGCTCCTTTGACCAATGATCAGGGGTCTCTCTTTCCTCCAGCTAAGAAACACATGTGGATCTCTAACAGTTTTCCATATGATAATTTGCTTTATTAAATTTAAATTGAAGTAATAAGATATAGCCTCTAGGTGCATGCGGTCTTTCCTGCCTCCAGAAGCACATGTGCAGGACATGGGGAAGGGAAGAGGGCAGGAGGTCAGTCAGCTCTATTTCACTGCAGTGTGGATCCAAAACTTGCTGGGCAGAAGCAGTGGCATAACCTCCTACAGTCACCTTCAATTTATGAATATCCTTTTTGTACTTTGCTATGCCCATTAATTTGTAAGTCTGGCTTCACACTGCCTTTGAATGACTGAATCAAGATGCAATCTACAGCCCTATGTATGCCTTGTCTTGTCAGAGCCATATCCCTTTGTGTAGGAAACCTTTAACTTAGTACTTGGACTAAGGTAACCTCAGTGTGTTCTCCAGGCCCAGGAGTGTTGCATCACAGCTAAGAGAAAGTCAGGTTAAAACTCCAGCAGGACAGTGTGGATCACCAAGCAGCTCCTAGAAAAGCTCAGACTGGAGAAGAAAGCATACAGAGAGTGGAAGTTAGGGCAGGTACCCTGGGAGGATTACAGAGAGGGTGTCCTAGCAGCTAGGGATCAGATTAAGAGAGCCAAATCCCAGATAGAATTAAATCTTGCCAGGGATGTAAAGAGCAATAAGGAAAGCTTCTATAGGTATGTTGGGGAAAAAAGGATAACCAAGGAAAATGTAGGCCCTCTCCTGAAGGAAATGGGAGGCCTACCTACACAGGATATTAAGAAGGCTGAGGTTCTTAATTACTTCTTTGCATCAGTCTTCTCTGACAAGTGCTCCAGCCTCATTGCAAAGGCCACAGCAGATGAAAGCAGGGACTGGGACAATGAAGTACCTGCCACTGTAGGAGAAGAACAAGTTTGTGACTATCTAAAGAACCTGAAAGTGCACCAATCTATGGGATCTAATGGGGTCTATCCATGGGCCCTGAGGGAGCTGGGAGATGCAGTTCCTAAGCCTCTCTCCATCATATTTGAGAGGTCATGGCGGTGTGGTGAAGTTCCCACTGAACAAAGGTAATATAGCCCCCTACTTTTAAAAAGGGGAAAAAGGAAGACCCAGGGAACCACCAGTCGGTCAGCCTCACCTCTATGACCAGCAAGATCATGGAGCAGGTTCTCCTGGAAAATCTGCTAAGGCACATGGAAAATGAAGAGGTGATTGGTGACAGCCAGCATGGCTTTACTAAGGGCAAGTCATGCCTGACCAATCTGGTGGCCTTCTGCAACAAGGCTACAGAGATGGCAGATGGAGGCAGAGCAACTGACATCATCTACCTGGATTTGTGCAAGGCATTTGACACTGTCCCATGTGACATCCTGGTCTCCAAACTGACCAGACATGGATTTGACAGATGGACCACTCGATGGATAAGAAATTGGCTGGATGGCTGCACCCCGAGAGGTGTGGTCAATGGTTCAGTGTTCAAGTGGAAGCAGGTGACAAGTGGTGTCCCTCAGGGGTCAGTATTGGTCCCAGAGCTGTTTAACATCATTTTTGGAGACATGGACAGTGGAGCTGAGTGTATCCTCAGCAAGTTTGCTGATGATACCAAGCTGTGTGGAGTAGTTGACAGCCTAGAGGGAAAAGATGCCATCCAGAGGGACCTTGACAGCCTGGAGAGGTGGGCCAGTCATGAAGTTCAACAAGGCCAAGTGCAAGGTCCTGCACCTGGGCTGGTGCAACCCCACAGGCTGGGGTGAGAATGGCTAGAGAGCAGTCCTGAGAAGGTCTTGGGGGTCTTAGTTGATGAGAAGCTCAGCCTGAGCCACCAGTGTGTGCTGGAGCTCAGAGAGCAACTGCATCCTGGGCAGCATCAAAAGAAGTGTGGCCAGCAGGGCCAGGAAGGTGATTCTTCCCCTCTACTCTGCTCTGGTGAGACCTCACCTAGAATACTATGTACAGTTCTGGTGCCTTCTTCTTAGGAAAGACATGAAGATGTTGGAAGGGGTCCAGAGAAGGACCACCAAGATGTCCAAGGGCTGGAGCAGCTCTGCTATGAAGACAGATGAGAGAGTTGGGGCTGCTCAGCCTGGAGAAGAGGCTCTGGGGAGACCTTATAGGGGCCTTCCAGTGCCTGAAGGGGCTACAGGAAAGCTGGGGAGGGGCTTTTCACCACAGAGGGTCGTGATAGGACAAGGGGTAATGGTTTTAAACTGAAAGAGGAGAGATTTAGGTTAGACATCAGGAAGAAATTC